TAGGTTGCACGGCGAACTCTTTGTTGAGTTCGACGAGTACTGCTACCGGGGTCCCTAAGCCTGCTCCTAGTGTTAGAGCTGAAGGCGTCTAATGCAAAGGTTATTGGATCTGATGGATCCGTAAGGACGTGTCTAGGGCAACATAAGTTTTTATGTGGTAATATACTGGGTATGTCGATTTTCCGAGGTCAACCCCCTATATTGACTGGACTATAAAAACGAACAGGCAACGCAATGCACAGGTACCTTCACACGTTCGTCGCGCTAGCGATCGTTTGGCTCGTGCGGCACCCACTTATCAAATCTTGCCAATTTGACGCAAATAGACCAATATTGTTTTGATGCTTAAATTTAAAGCTGCTGCTAGCTGAGCGGTAGATTGAGTATTATCTGGTTCCACTAAGGTATTTAATTCGTCGTTGTTGACTTTAGTTTTATGGCGGCCACGGAGTTGATTTTCAGATAAAAATGTTCATATGGGAATCGTTCCAACGAGTCATGCGTTCCATTTGTAGTGTTTACTCCGTTCACGTCATTAATGTCGTGAGCCGTTCGTATGACATTACTGCCGCGACGGAGCTCTTATTACATTATTACTCGTGTTATTACATTATTTACATTATTATTTATTACATTATTTATCTTTGTCGTGTCTATGTTGCTGATGAAAATGATACAAATGTAGTGAAAACAAAACACTAATCATTAAATAAATGGCTGAATTTGAAAATAGAATTCCAAATTTTGAGATAAAATTCATTTGAATTTAGTACTAGGCTGCACTAAAAGTATCGGGAATGGAATATTTCCACTGTTCCTGTCATATTAAAATCTTTTTAATTGAAAACTCCTTGGTTTTAAAAATCGAATACCATTTATTTATTTAAAAAAAGATTCTCGGTCTTGTCACGAGGTTTTGTCAAACTTGTTTAGTCGTTGAGAAAATGGAATTGACTCGAGAAAATTCAAGAGCGATGATTTATTATGACTTTCGAAGTGGTTTAACACAAAAACAGTGTGTTGACCGGATGATTTCTGCATTTGGTGATGAAGCCCCATCCAAAACCACAATTTATCGCTGGTTTGCTGAGTTTCAACGTGGACGTGTCAAGCTCAGTGATGATCCCCGTCAAGGTCGTCCAAAAACTGCAGTCACCCAAGAAAACGTTGATGCTGTGCGTAAGCTGATTGAGGAAGATCGACATGTGACATACCGCGAAATTCAGGCAACTTTAGACATTGGCATGAGTCAAATACAAATAATCTTGCATGAACAATTAGGTGTAAAAAAGTTGTTTTCCCGATGGATACCGCATTCGCTCTGTGAAGAGCAAAAAGCGGCTCGCGTTACTTGGTTCGTCAGAACTCTCGAAAGATTCCACGCAGGATCCTCAAATGCTGTATACAACATTGTAACTGGTGACGAATCCTGGATATACGCGTACGAACCCGAAACAAAAAACCAGTCACGAGTTTGGGTGTTCGAAAATGAGTTAAAGCCAACAAAAATTGTTCGTTCACGGAGTGTTGCAAAAAAAAATGGTGGCCACGTTTGTCTCCAAAACCGGCCATGTTACGACTATTCCTCTTGAGGGACAAAGAACGGTTAATGCAGAATAGTATGCTAGCATTTGTTTGCCACAGGTTGTTTCTGAACTCCGTAAAGAGAACTGCAACCGCCGCATCATCCTCCATCACGAAAATGCGAGTTCTCACACCGCGCACAGAACAAAAGAGTTTTTAGAGCAAGAAAACATAGAATTATTAGACCATCCGCCGTACAGCCCCGACCTAAGCCCTAATGATTTCTATACTTTCCCTAGAATATCATCATCACCTGAAGAAGCTGTGGACGCCTACAAAACGGCCATTTTGGAGACCCCAACTTCCGAATGGAATGGTTGCTTCAATGATTGGTTCCGTCCTATGGAAAAATGTGTCAAATTTTGCGGAGAATACTTCGAAAAGCAATAAATACATTTTTAAATAGTAATTCGTTCTATAACTTCTATAACTTCGTTATATAACTATTCTATAACTTCGTTAATTCCCGTATGGTGAAGTTTAATTTGTAATAGAATTAGAGTGTCCAGCGAAGCGGGCGAGTACGGCTAGTAAATACATAAATTTATGAATTTAGCAGTTTAATTTTTATTTGTAGATTACAATAATATTCAATTCGGCTAAGTGCTTCTGCTATATAATCTTCAATCAGTGCTGTGTGATCCGTCATGTCGAATACGGAAAAGTGATTACGCACTAAAAGATAAGTCGAACAATTTGTTATCGCTATTTCGAACTTACAAAAAAAACAAACGTCACCGGTATCAGTATGAATCTTAATTATGTTATATTTGTAATAAGGAGAATTTGTAAATATTTCGAATTATTTGATAAGACTAGTAGGAACCTGCAACTCCATTCACAAAACGGAATTGATACAATGAATCTATTTGAAGTATTAACTCATATGATTTTACCTTATTGTTATATATATCTCTGATAACGAGATAATAGCAGTTTTATAGTTTAATTATAAAATAGAACACGGTCACGAAATAAAGGCGATAATTGCATTAATTCGCGTGTTTTCTTTACACGGTGAAATGAATGGGTTTTGGTAACACTTGATGCCAGATTTGTCACGTACTCTCGTTTGCCCGACGATAACAATTAAAAGATCCTTTCTCGAATTACTTCTTCCTTCCAAATCCTTCCTGTGTGCTAGGTACATATGGCGCCCACCATTCCTCCTTTCATTGTCATGAAACATTCGCGCGTTATTGTCTCTTCAGACGCTACCATGTCCTAATTATAGAACTACATATTAAGATTTTCACTTGATATCCCGAGGTGACGATTTTAGATTGTATTGTCTATAGGCTCCACATTCTCACGTAATATATGGTAAATCATTTTTTTTTCCTGCTTATTCCTTGAGAGGCTATTTCAGGTTCTGCTTGACGTGTAGGTGAGCCACGGGGCTCAAACTGGGAGTGTAGCTAACACTGGCCTTAGCAACAGCAGTGCTTCGCAGAATCTGCCACCGGATCGGAAATGCGACACTGAGAAGATTCGGCGAGAAGCTCAGTGGGCTGTGTCTATGGGTTAATTTACTCGTCGAGACCTTCGTCACAAGCGACGGGTTCGGTGAGGACGGTGACTGGTGCTTGAGGTACCTAAAAACACTGTTAATGGGTCGGGAGGATCCATAATGACGTGAAGGTATGGTCGTATGGTTATGGTTATGTCTGTCTATAAGATACATTTTAAAAACGGCCTTGAGAGTCTCTCCCGGAGCGTGGTGCAAGAGAGACGATCAAAACTTGTGTCTGAAGTGGAGAACTCTCTGGGACGAGTCTCCAAGTGGGGGGGGGTGGGGTGAATTGAACATAGTTCAATTCAACCCGTTGAAGACACAAGTTTGCGCGCTCACTGCGTAGAAGGACCCATTTGTCACGGTGCCGCAATTCCAAGGAGTATCCCTGCAACCTTCTAAGAGTATTGGGATACTTGGGGTCGATATTTCGAGCGATGTCTAATTTCGGAGTCATTTGCCCTTGTAGAGACACTTCTAGTACAATTTTATGTACCATTTACTAGTACATATCTTTAGGTATATTAGACACGCGCAGCAGTTTTACCTGCATTAAATTTACAATTCAGAAAGAATGTAACAAGTTTATTTTCTTCCGATAAAGTATTGCTTCTGTCATCTTTAGAATATAGACTGCCAGCCAATTTGAAGAACCGTTGACGCGTAAAATGAAAGAATAGTATTAAACATGCTGTTTGTTGTATCTATAATAGCAGATATCTATATACCTGGCGTTGCCCAGTCATGTCATTTAGCACGAAAAAACGTATCCTATGCGACGAACTATCTTTGTGGAAAATTTTATTGAATTCCCTTCCACCGTGTCAACGTGATTTTACGTAAACACCCAAACCCTCATACGAATTTACGCATTTATTAAATTAATGTACTTAGATTGATAAGATTAATGTATTATTTTATTATCAAATTAATGTGCGCACCTGGTAATTATTCACATTGATAGAATCTTATGATATCTTTTATAATAAAGAATCGACTAATCTTTGTGTTGGAAATAATCCATAATTTTCACATTGAAACTGATAAAGAAAAAAGGTTTTAGTCATCTTTAAATTTACCTTGATTTTATTACGAATAAAAGGTACTTTTTTTAGTTTAGTTCGTTCAATATCTATAGTCTAGATTTGAAAAAAAAGAAAAAAAACGTTTTGTTATCTCTTTTAACAAATCGAGTTCCGATCTGAAGGGCATGATAAAATTATCTACGTCTTGTCTATTTGACTATTAAGATCGAACCGCTGAAATGATGCGTACCTGGGGCAGATCCTGATCTATAGGACTGTAGGGCTCGGAGAGCACATTGAGTTTAAAAAAAAAAAAACATGGCCGGTTGAAAAATTATTGAGAAATCAATCACTTTGTCAATTTAGGATGGGTTTTTAAATTTTGCCCTGATTTTGGAGATAAGGTTGGAATGTACATGTTCTGCCAGCGGTCGGACAACAAGCCAATACCATTGGAAATCAATTCGGTATTTCTAAAAGGGTGGTTCCAGAGGAGTTTCGAATAACTAACCGGTTTTCATATTTTTACAATAATCATTTTCGAAATTATTTAAACATTTACACTTAGTAGCGTGTTAATTCAGGAAAGTAGAATAATACAAAGTTCTAAACAAAGAGGAAATGACATTTCAAGCAGAGCACTGAAAATCGGAAGAAGAATTTGAAATTAAACAAATTAATTATTTTTTTATGTTTTATTAAAATACTTAATAATATAATAATAATTTCGATAAAGGAGTGAAACAGGACCGAATTATTAATTTTATATCTTATTAATGTTATATATTAATGATATATATTAACATTGTACTAACTTCATCGCTTAAAGAATTTCGTTAAATATCTCACAGTCTTGCCAACAAACTAATATTTATAGACTAATGAGATGTAACATAATTTTAATTTAAAATGAACGATTAAAATTTTTCAAGAAGTTTTTCATAGAGCCCTTTAAAAGTAGTGTCTGATATTTTGTCGTGCTTCCAAATGTTTGTTAAGTGGAGGTAGGAACACTGGTGCAACACGGCCTTCGCAGCTGACATTAGTAGGAAAATCGCATCGTTCCTTTTGAGGATCATAGAAAAGATTAGACGGACAAGCGAATGATAATGTTTTACCGCTGACGCACATGTGATAGTGGCTACACACATTATGGGCTACAAGTTTCCCGTTCGAACCTTCTTGAGCACATAAAGATAATGCCTGTTTCGGATCACAGTTACAAGGACCAGTATTGACGTTTTCCTCGCCTGGAACGACTCTAGTGCCACATTCGACATTCTTGGACCATTCACAAGTTTGGGTGATTGGGCTAAAGAATAAGTTCGAAGGACATTTAAGAGTTACGGGATTTCCAGATGAGCACATGTAAAATTTATCGCAGTCTTCGTGAGCCACTAAAACGCCTTCGGATTCTTTTTTCGAGCAGATCACAGCTGTTGTATCTTCGTCTTTGTTGTTTCCGTTACCGTTGTCTCCCTGGAGCTTTCTATCTCCACAATCAACGTAGCGTGGCCAATCACATTTTTCGGTAAGCAAGTTATAGAGTAGAGTGCTCGGACAAGTCAAAGTAACGGGAATACCATTTGAGCACGTATAGAATTGATTGCAATTTTCATGAGGAACGAACGTGCCTTCTGCATTACCTCTTGCACAAATAGCTTTTACTTCACTGGGGCTAGCGTTGGTGTTGTTGTTAACATCATTCGGTTCTTTTATAATACACAAGTTAAGATCATCACTCTTATCAGGAATTATTCTATCTCCACATTCAACAGTACCAGGCCATTCGCATCTTTCTAAGTGTGGATCATAAAGAAGGTCTTCAGGGCAATTTAACGGAACCGGTAGCTTATTGAAACACTTATAGAACTTATTGCAATGTTCGTGTGCTATTAGGATACTGTCAGATCCTTCAGCAGCACAAACACTTGGGGCTTCGCTGGGATTGCAGTTGCAAGAGCCTCCACCACCTCCACCTCCGCCGCCACCACCACCTCCTCCACCTCCACTGCCGTCTTCTTCATTACAATCAGGTATGATTCTGTCTCCACAATCAACAGTATTAGGCCATTCGCATCTTTCTAGATGCGGATCATAAAGTAGATTTCCTGGGCACTTCAATGCTACTGGTAGTCCATGGTCACATTTATAGAACTTATTGCAATATTCGTGAGCGATTAAAACACCATCAGAACCGTCGGCAGCGCAAATACTTGGGGCTTCACCGGGGTCGCAGTTGCAAGAGCCACCTCCGCCACCACCACCTCCTCCACCACCTCCACCTCCACCTCCGCCTCCGCCGCCACCACCACCGCCACCGCCGCCTCCACCTCCACCACCAGATCCATCATCGCCAGGCCCATCATCGCCAGGGCTGCTTTCTTCACTTTTGGTTTCATCACATTCTTTATCGTTATTTCCATCTTCGCAATTACAAAGTAGTCTGTCACCACATTCAACATTATGCGGCCAATCACATTGGTTTGTATAAGGGTTAAATAAAAGATTGTTATTACAAACCATAGGCCTTGGACGACCGTGAAGACAAATGTAATATTTATGGCAAATTTCATGAGCTATGAGAATACTATCAGACCCAGGTCGCGCACAAATCTCTGGTGCCTCCGCTGGATCGCAATTACAAGTCTGCTCATTGTCATCGCTTTCCTTACTCTCATTGTTACCAGGGTTTTCATCCTTTTCAGGGATAGCCCGGTTTCCGCACTTTACATTGTGAGGGTAATCACAACGCCTAGCGCAAGTATCGAATAGAAGATTGCCGGCACAAGTTTGTGCCACTGGCCTTCCGTGCGCACACTGATAAAATTGATTGCAATTTTCGTGCGGAACGAGACCACCATTATTAGCTGGGAGGGCACAAAGTGATGGCGCATCACTAGGGGCCCAGTCGCAAGTGTTTTCATTTTCATTGCCGTCGTCTTCACCTTCCCAATCGCCTTCATTGTCGTTACATTCGGTGCGATCGTGAACTTGATCTGTTATTCTATTTCCACAATCAACGTTGTGAGGCCAATCGCACACTTCGATGACCGGATTGTAAAAGAGTCCTTCAGA